TGCCAGTGGGTGGAGTCAGGCTCTGACCAGGGGTTTAGTTACCCTTGAACAAAGTGCCATTAATGTAAAAGGAATGTAAAAGGGTGGTCTATATTATGATATTTTTCTATATGAAGCATATACTTTATTCAAGCCACACAAACGTATAACTGAAACATTAATAGAATGCAAAGTGTTGGAAGACATAGCACTGCGCTTGTACAGTCTTAAATTCAGTCACACAAACTAACACACAGCTAAAAACAATTGGAACAAAGCACTAAGTTGTATAGACTACTATTTATGATAGTTTTATGGTGCTTTTTTTTCCATTTTGGAGCATTTTACATAAACAAAAATAACTTTTTTGTGCTCTACAGCAAAAAAAAATCAACTGCATACAACTTGTAATAGTTCTAATGACAAACTGGTAAACATAAGACCAAAAAAAAAACTTTAACTCCAGTATAAATGCAGCCTGCTCATGCTATCCTGTTAAGAGATCCTCTTTCTTTGGACCAGAAAACCCATTGCAGCGGAAGGGCCTCATTTAGAGAAACAGAAAGGAAAGGCGGAGGAAAAAAAAGAGAATAAATCCCTTTCTCAGGAAGATTAGTGGCTGTCCCTTTAGAGTGGGCTGTGGATAGAGCGGCTTTTTAAGCCACGTTTTTCTCTGCCAGTGGCTTGACCCCTGGTGGACTGCCTCTCTCCCCTGGGCTGCTCGCTGTACTGCTCTCTGCTCCTCCCACCGAGCCTCCTTACCCATTCTTCACCGTCTCTACGGAGAACTATGTAGAAGGGATAAAGAAATACCTCTTTTTCTCTGACATGGTGTCTGTGACCAATCTAGAGCCGCTCGGTGTGCTTCCAACAAATGAAAAAGGGCTGGAAAAATAACATCCACCTGTCATCAATCTGCTGATATTATACCAGACAGGGGCAGGATAATATCCTCACTACATATAGGTATCCAAACAAAACTAATTGGCAGCAAACTTAAAAAAAAAAAAAAACTTTTGCTGATAATTTACTCACCCCCATATCATCCAAGATGTCCATGTCATTCTTTCTTCAGTCGAAAAGAAATTAAGGTTTTTGATGAAAACATTCCAGCATTTTCTCCATATAATGCACTTTACTGGTAACCAAACGGTTCAAGGTCAAAAGACAGTTTCAGTGCAAACTGCAAACTGTTCAAAGGGCTTTAAACGATTCTAGACAATGAACAAATCTTTTTCCAAGTCAATTCGTTCGTTTCGTCCGTTGAATGAACCAAAAGATTTGTCCATTTTGATGAATGAGTTCGAACAGGAGAGTCACAAACGTGCGTCACAGAACAGAGCAAGGCAAACATTTGAGCTTATAAAACTTAAACTTTGTTATTTATTTACTAAATGACCGATCGTTTCGCTTGATAAGACCCTTATTCATTGTCTGGAATCATTTAAAGCCCTTTGAACAGTTTGCAGTTTGCACTGAAACTGTCTTTTGAGTATATTACCAGCAAAAGTTTTTTTAAAAAAGTGAACTACTCCTTTAAGCCTGCCTGAAGTGGTGCAGCCACAATTTTACAATGTAAAATGTAATAAAAAGATTTGAATAGACAGTTATTTTAAATCAATAATATTAATGTTTTAACTGTATTTTTAGTTCATTGGCATTCATTAGAAGTATCATTAGAACTAACTGCCCAAGGGTGTTACAAAGATGGCCGCCAACTGGATTGACTTTGGTCGGGATCATGTCAGGACACATTAAATTTGAGAACACGGGTTTAAAATTAGGCCTGAACTGGTGGGAAAGAATGTGTTGTGGTCGGATAATTTTCTTTGCAGATTTTCCTTTGAAACATTGACACCTTTCCTTGTTCGTGCTTCAGATCATGTACCTACACACATTGTCTTGAGGTACTGAACAAAAGTTGGACCGAACAGCTAATGAATCCTGCAGATGCCCTGTAACCACTAAACTGACCTCAATAAAACAAATTTTGCACCATAAAATCTGTAAATAGACATAAAAGTGAGATGAAACAAAAGGTATCGAATAGCTCAGAAATGCTTTAAATAAGTCCAGTCCTGCTCCAGGAGATCTACAGTATATATCGCACTGCAGGCTTCAGATCCTCTAACTCTAGTCAAACTTCACACTTCAACAAGCAAATACAAGTCTTCAGGTTCATTGGCAATTACAGGCAGGGTTTGAAATAAACCTTACAGGGAGGCAGATTTCCAGAGACAGGAATGAGTATATGTAACTTTCCAAATATTTTTACAGATATGCTTTTCAAAGTTTTAAAGGGATAGTTTCTGTCCATTGGACTTTCTTTCTTCTGTTGAACACAAAATGAATAAAGTTTTTCCCCCAGTGCAATTGCAATAAATGGGGTAGTATGGAAGCTTTCAAGAACAGTAAGTACTTCGTAACTTGAGAACTGTTAAATATGGTTTGTGAACGTACCATTTAGACCAATGTTGTGAACTGGGTCAGTGATTCATTGAAAAGATCCGACTCATAAGAATCATGTTTATGTATTGGGCATTGCTGCTTCTCTCATAAACGCTTATGAACATGTTAAGGAGAACTAGAGCAAATAAGATTTTCAGGTTATATGGACCACTTAAATGATACATTTTGAAAGTTTCATCCATTTATTGTTTTATTTATTTATTCGTTTATGATTTAACACCATATCAGCAGCAAAGGCTATATTCATGGCAATCAACAGTATTTCAATTTTAAAAATATTTATGATTATGACATGCTTCTATATATTTAAGAAAAATGTTCATGTATATACTGTATGTAGATTTATATATAATTTATATTATATTTAAATATAAATATTTTATATATAAATAATATCTTTTCCTTAAATATACCTGCATGTGTATGTATTTATATATTAGGGATGGGCAACGATTAATCGCGATTAATCGCTAGCAAAATAAAAGTTTGTGATTACATAATATATGTGTATGTAGTGTGTATAATTAATTTGTATATATAAATACCCACACATGCATGTATATATTTAAGAAAAATGTGTTTAATTAATTAATTATGTATAAATATATATAAAGTATATACATGCAAATATTTCTTAAATATATACATGCATGTGTGTGTATTTATATATACAAATTAATTATACACACTACATACACATATATTATGTAAACACAAACTTTTATTTTGCTAACGATTAATCGCGATTAATCGTTAGCAAAATAAAAGTTTGTGTTGCTTATCCCTAGTATATATATATATATATAAAATGTAAACACAAACTTTTATTTTGGATGCGATTAATCACGATTAATCGCAATCAATCGTTTGACAGCCCTAATTACAATCATATAATGTAACTGGATATACAGAAAATGACCAGGACATCCTTTAAAATGTTTCCTTATGGTTCACAGATGAAATAAAGTCATATAGGTTAGGAATAAGAGTGAGTAATGTTTCAATCCAGAATCAATCCAGTGTAACACTAAATTAAAAGCAAAATTCATGTAAAGACCCCAACTTCCTTTTCACACACCCCTGTCAAACGTCTGGTCTCTAGTGGTGAGAACAAGGTCCTTCATCATCACTGAGGTTTGCATTCAAAAGCCTTTTCAGCAGGCAACTAATGAAATGAAGTACTATTCCTTGAGTATTTCCTATATTCATATTTTTTTACGTTTTAAATATGAATTTTCACATTCAAAATAACACACAACATCATACACCGAGACAAAAAATAACTCCCTTCTGAAGAGCGGGTACACCAATGCCCTATTTCTACTTTTGTCTTAAACAATTTATGATCATTGCTTTCTTATGGCAGGCCACCAAACCCCTCATTAAACAGTGCGATGCCATAATATGAGCAGGTCATTAGCATTTCAAAGGTCTTTTACCATCTTCATGTTTGTCAGATGGACAGCGCAGTCCACTGCTCTCCCTGAAGCTTTAAGAAATTTATAACATAATACTCTGGAGGTGAGAACAAGGTCTTTCAACCTAGTTAGAGAGGGGTTTTCATCACACATTCACTGACATCTTTTAAACATGTACAGCCTCGTCCATTCTCTTCACTCTTTCCTTTGCATCTTTGAGTCAACAAGTGATACACAAGCAAACCGGTCCGACACACAATGAATTTCTAAACATCTCTCAGCCGATATATGAACACGTCTTTTCTAATATGCTGTATTCTAAGGTCTTAATAATAATAATTTAAAACAAATATTTTTACGGAATGTTATATTATCAATGATAATATTTTTAATTCAATAATTTAACATAGTAGCCAGAGCATACCAAATTTAACTTAAAATAATAATGATAATAGTAACAGACAAACCAGAGTAGCCTAGTTATTAAGTAAAACTAAAACCATTCAAAGTAGTTTTTTAAATAATTTAGATAAAAATATTTAAACAAAATTTAAATAATAAATGAAAAACTTGTTGTTCGATGTTGCCATTGCATCTAACCGATCTAATCATCTAATCTACATACCAGAATTACTAAAAATAAAACAAATACAAAGAAATGAAAGCCAAGTTGAAATATATATATATATATATATAACAATACAAACTACAATGAAAACTGAATATATATATATATATAACCACATGACAGTTTAACTTAATTTTATGTCAAATTGTCATGACAAAGACACTGACAGGTTATGACGTTATGGTTTATGTCAAGATGTCATAACAAAGACATCTCAAACAACGTCATATTTGCATTCAAAATGTCATTATTGAGCGAAAGACACTTAATGACAGTCATAAACATGCATAAACCCTACTTCATAACCATGACATGACATATGTCTTGAATATAAAGTCAGTCTTATGAACACCCCTTCAAGTAAAGTGTTACCAAGTTTTGAAAGCGCCAGAGTCACACTTCTCAAGTCAAGCTATGGAATTGCCTCTACACAATTTACCAGGACAGGAAAGAAAGTAGTTAAACATCAGAAAAATAAGAGCAAACACCATTTGAGAACACAGTACCTCGAGATGCTGTGGTCGGTGAGGGCTTTTTGGGAAGGTCTGAGAAACTACTGCCATCCAGGCCTGACACCTTGCATTCCTTCTTTTCTGTGGTGCTGGGACTTGTGGTCTCCATGATGAGCCTGAAAGAGAAAAAAAATATTTTTACTGTCTGCTGACTCACACAAATAGATGTAGGTTAGAGGACAAAAAGAGGTGTCGCAACCTGTCATCGAAAAACATTTGTAACGGCTGATGCAAAATGTAATAATATGACTTCCCTTGAAAGTCCTACAAATGCATAAAATCTTTAGAGGGAGTGACTGAAATATATTTCATTATATAAACTACAGTTCTACAGAAAACTCCTGTCTTATGACTTGTCTGTTTGTTTTGAGAGCTTAGAGGAGCCGTTATAGAAATGCCATGTTACCAGAAGAGACAAAGCAGAGAGCGTGCAGAGCACCTCCTCTACGGCGGCTCGGTCAGAGCGCTCAAGTGCCTGTGCTGAAGGCAGATGACTTGGCAGCACGCCGCTTGTTTAACTTTGTGTAACCTACAAGATTATCCTTGGTTCAGAGCAAACAGCGAGCGGTTTAGGACTGAAAAGAGGTCCAAACTGAGGCCATTCAGTCTCTGATTGTGGCTGCCCAAGTTGTTTGTTCTTCAGCAAATTAACAAGTATGTTTATACTTTACCATATGTTTATAAGTAAGGTTTAAAGTTCAATAGATGCATGATGTTAGTGAGTTATTTAAAATATCCCTGATCTCGATACTGACCAAAATAATCCTGTATTTTTATCAATTATAATAATGATTATATATATTTTTTTGCCTTAAATCAAGAATCCCTGCCCTATAGTGAAAAAAAAAAATCCATCGCAAAATGTATTTAACATTAAAAAATACATTTATTTCATACTAAGCATACTACAAAGCCATTGGGGCATTGCTTGGGAATTACTGACATTAATGTTATAGTTACAGTTTATTTGGAACACTTTATTGCACGATGCACATAAATTAATTTTAAGCCTAAAATGTGTTTTAATATTAAAATGCAAGATACTAAAAGTGCATAAGTATAAGCTTTAAGTATATTTTTAGTAGGACTTTAGCACTATTTTAGCACTATTTTTAGCAGACTTTAAATACCAATTTAGTAATTATATTATACATAAATATGTGAATGTATTTGTAGTATACATTTTAGCATATTTATTTTTCACTTGGGTATAGACTGGTATTTGGAAGCCTGGAAAAAAAAAATCAAAATTGTAAAATGGTCATAATTGTGAGACACTTTATATGTTCTTTCAACCAAAACAAACAAATGAATTTGTTTTCTAATTATAATCACAACAGCCCATATTGTCTGTAGTGTGTTCCAAAAGGAAAATGATGCATGCAAACTAAATGATGCTTTCCTTTTGACCTTTTAAATGTTGTTTCTACATGCTAATTCAAAATGTAATTTATTTATGTTCAGTATCCTGTAAGAGTACCTGTGGCCACATTCATCAGCCTTTTTTCGTGCCAGTCAAACATCCCTTTGCCAAGATAAGCCGATTAGAGGTGGACTGTTGGAGTTGGCTAGCATCTGTCTCACTGCTTGTTAGCCAAGAGGGTACATTTGCCATCCTGTCTCACTGACACCTCTTCAAAGATGTAACTAAACATTGTAGCTGTCAAAGGATTCATTTATACATTAATAATGAGGCCTCCTAATGCTGCTTGTGAACTCAGTGTTGTCATCAAAAGTACACAGGCCAATTACAACAACTAGGACATTTCTATACGTCTCTTATGGAAACCACCTTCCAGGACTCAAAGTTTTTCTTGTTCCATATCATTACCACGATTGTTAAATGAAATGAATCCCTGTTTGAGGACATTAGTCAAACACAAACATGCTATTACTGGCACTGTCACCTTTATTTGCCAGAAACACTCATTACTGCAGCCAAAGCTGCCCTGGAACAGACGCACAGTAACAATGACTCATCGACACCTGTCAAAGATGATATATATAGTATATATACTGGATGTTTTTCCCTTTTCACACCATTTTTTCTATACACAGACACATACACTCTCCTAAAGGATTATTAGGAACAACTGTTAAATTTCTCATTAATGCAATTATCTAATCAACCAATCACATGGCAGTTGCTTCAATGCATTTAGGGGTGTGGTCCTGGTCATCTCATGAACTCCAAACTGAATGTCAGAATGAGAAAGAAAGGTGATTTAAGCTATTTTGAGTATGGTTGCCAATTGATGATGCCAAACGGGCCGGTCGGAGTATTTCACAGTAACTGCTCAGTTACTGGGATTTTCACGCACAACCATTTCTAGGGTTTACAAAGAATGGTGTGAAAATGGAAAAACATCCAGTATGCGGCAGTCCTGTGGGCGAAAATGCCTTGTTGATGCTAGAGGTCAGAGGAGAATGGGCCGACTGATTCAAGCTGATAGAAGAGCAACTTTGACTGAAATAACCACATGTTACAACCGAGGTATGCAGCAAAGCATTTGTGAAGCCACAACATGCACAACCTTGAGGAGGATGGGCTACAACAGCAGAAGACCCCACCGGGTACCACTCATCCCCACTACAAACAGGAAAAAGAGGCTACAATTTGCAAGAGCTCAACAAAATGTGCCTTGTTACCACTGTGCAGGCTGGTGGTGGTGGTGTATTGGTGTGGGGGATGTTTTCTTGGCACACTTTAGGTCGTTTAGTGCCAATTGGGCATCGTTTAAATGCCACGGCCTACCTGAGCATTGTTTCTGACCATCTCCATCCCTTTAGGTCCACCATGTACCCATCCTCTGATGGCTACTTCCAGCAGGATAATGTCACAAAGCTCGAATCATTTCAAATAGTTTTCTTGAACATGACAATGAGTTCACTGTACTAAAATGGCCCCCACAGTCACCAGATCTCAACCCAATAGAGCATCTTTGGGATGTGGTGGAACAGGAGCTTCGTGCCCTGGATGTGCATCCCACAGATCTCCATCCTATCCTATCAATATGGGCCGACATTTCTAAAGAATGCTTTCAGCACCTTGTTAAAGCAATGCCACGTAGAATTAAGGCAGTTCTGAAGGCGAAATGGACTTATTCAATTTCAAAATTCACAAAAACTATTTGAAAAGCTTGCATTATTCAAAATGGCAGATTTGTTAGCTATTGGTTCAAAAGTTACGGCTAAAAGGCTAACCTAGCAAGGCTAATCATCCCACAATGGCCAAAATTTGAAAATTTGATTAGCATAGCAAATATATCAGTACCCCATAGTGTCATTTGCTTCTGACCCTTTGATTAGAAGATCTGACAGTACAGGTGTACATAACCGAGTGGACAGGTGGCGCTGAGGGAGAAAACGACAAGAAAGGAACTCTGTTCTTCTGCGTGACTGCTTTGACAAATGCAGCGTGCGAAAAGGATCAGAATCTCAGGTCCGCATGACAGAGGGGTGTGAGACCACGCAGGCCTGCAGGCTAATCCTCCATAGCCACTCCCTACCGCATTACCCCAACTACTGCTGGGCCAGAAAGTTCAGCCGTGACCGCTCACAAAAATCCCTCCTTTGAACGCTCCGTGTAGACCACCAAATTCACAATCACAGATAATGATTAGAACTGATTGTGTTTCCATGAAAACTGAGCTACAATGGAAGAGCAAGAGGACATTTCATTAACTTTATACTCCTTGTAAATTTGATTTCCCTTCCAGCCAACAGTTTGACAAAGACGAGTGAAGTTAAGCAATAAAGCTGGACACAATGCACTTTATCTTCACGCAACTTTCCCTCCATTTTTTTAGGAAAGCAATTACACCGACTACTTAACACCAGCAATTATGTATACACTCAAAGTGTCAAAAGTGCTTTTCTTCTTGAAGCTCCATGAACTTTTCTTCATTTTCCCTGAATACATGACAGGCAGCTTTGAAGGCTTCTCTCTGTGCCTGTAGTCAGTTTGAAAAGAAGCAACAGGTGTGAAAAAGACCATCCACCCCAAAGGACTGCGAGGGTGAAAAAAGAGGACAAAAACAGATAATGAGAGAGAACACCATGTGGCCCTTCTGAACAATCAAACTGATGCTGAAGAAACACCTTGAACCATCTTATAGAGCTGACAATTTTTTTTTTATCAATAAATGCTGACTGCAATTCTAGAATAGCATCATGAGCTCTTTGCAGAAAAACAATACTATGCTATTAGAGCCTCATTTCTTTTCAACTGTTATGGCTTGCCTAGGCTAATGCAAACCTGACTTCCTCTTATTTGAGGATCTCTCTTCTTCGGTGTCATTGCGTGTTTTGCACAGAACCATGGGGAGGACATAAATCACCGCTTCTTCATGTGAACAGCTATACATGCAAGTGAGAGTTATATTCAAAAGAACAATTATAGTGCAAGAGCAAAGTGATTAGACAAGATTATTTCTTTCCACTTAACCTCAATCTTGTAATCCAGGAACATGGATAACGTTACAAGAATGAAGTGCATCTAATGTCACCAGGTCAGCAGGGTCAGTGAAGTTACTCCAAAACGGTTATCAATAATAAATCACTAATCGCTTTCTCTACATTATAATGGGACCACTTTTCTAATTACTTCCACGGAGACAAAATTACATCACTCAACACCTTTGAGTGATAACACATTATAGTATGCCATTGCCAACTTCAATTTATTTAGAAAAATATTTATAATTTTAATCCACAAGGATGCATTAAACTGATCAAAAGTGATTTTTCAAAGAATCCTGGAAATAAAGCATCACGGTTTCCACAAAAACATTTTTTTTAAGCCGTGGGACTGTTAATGACAATATAGATAATACAAAGAAAAATTTCTTGAGCACCAAATCAACATATCAGAATGACTTCTGAAGGATCATGTGACAATGAAGACTTGAGTAATGATGCTGAATATTAATATATATTTAAATATATATATATATATATATTAAATTAGAAAGCAGTTATTTAAAATTGTACTAATATTTCATAATATTATGGTTGTACAGTATTTTTTATTAAATACATGCAAATTTGGTAGCATAAGAGACTTCTGTTAAAAACATGAACAAAAACTTACATTTTGAATGGTAGTGCATGTATA